GCGCCCCTTCAGAAATCCGACTCCCTTTGCCATCCTTCGCGACCACTCCAGCATTCAATTTCTCACGCTTGGGACAGGTCTTTCGCTCATATGGGGTCCATCACAGATGAAACACCCTTTGTAGATTTCCACCGTATGGCTTTGAGAGATCCCTTTATTGTTTTGTACTTGGAACCCTCTGTCCCCTTCCTGAAACCAGACTTCTTCTCTCCCCGTCTTCTCTTTTCCTTTCTTCTTGGATTTGCTGGTTTCAATAGTGGGTTCCTTGCTAACTTGGTCTATAGCACCTGTACTTGCAGTCGCAGAGCCTAGTAGGAGGCGGCAACGTTCTGGACACCGATCTTCGTAATTCTAACTGGGCCCAATTCTGCAACCCACGCAACTTGAAATTTGAAGAAGTTTATCTTTCCTCCGGACATGTCTTGATTGTCCAAGCATCCAACGAATGAATTCTTTTCACGTAGTCCCTTGTCACCGAGTTCCAGTGCTCAAACCGTATTCAAGGCGTCTCTTGCAACCACAAGATGTGTTGCACGGACAAGTAGATTGTTCTTCATTTCCTTCTAAGGTTATCCCAAGTTGGATCTCTGTCCAAGCATACATGCCGCGACACGAGTACGGCCCACCAGGAGTTTTGCAATCACCGGTAGGTACATGCTGCTGATTGGTAACCTTCTCTCCTTCTGGCACGATGAGCAGCCCCTGTGAAAGTATTTTGCTCCATGTCCCAAACAGTAAAATTTCTCAAGTTTCCTTTGGCCACCTGATTCCAGCAAATGCTTTAGGGTTGGAACTTTGATTTCCGAAGGAGCCTTTTCAGAATTCGTATGCCACAGATGGCCTTCTTACAGAAGGGACTGTTGCCACCCACAATTTCTTGAATTTTTGTCTTTCCCAAGAATCCGAAATGGCCAGGACATCAGACAGCAACGTCTTTGAACGATCTGCTGTCGATGTCTCATAAGGGCAAGAGCCTTGTGGCCCAGCATCCAATCGATCCGACAGCGAGATATTCTCATCAGCAGGTCACCAACCAAGATTTTCCAACCGAGTTACCGACTGTCTTTAGGCATCTCATGCCCAGAAACCATTAAAAGCAAAAACCTGGCTCTGATACCATTGTTTACAGGGTCAATATTTCGTTTCAAAAATTCCAGCCTGTAATGGCACTAAGTGGTACACTTAGTCTTTCAGCCAAGTTATGATACACACACACACACACAGTAGATGTTATAACAAGTAAGAAATAGGCAGCAAGGTAATTATCAGGAAAATCCCAACCTTTATTGATTGCACCAACAATACAAAGGATGCCTATGGAACTCTCTACAAAACACTTTAGTTTAATTTTCGAGTTCCATGCTTATGCCTAAATAGGCTTACAATCAGGTTCAAAACCCACAACCAAGCATACAAGGAAAGCATGCCCAAGTGGCACATGGCAGTTGACACCCCACTGCCTCGGGACTTAGGAACATTCTGGAGCATACAACTGCTCTTAACTGCTGCTTATGTTTCAAGCTTTGTTTCCGTGTGTCCAGACTTGCTTGTCTATTGCCCAGTCATGGATAACTGCTGCCAAACTGACATGCATAACTTGCTAGTAATGCCAATGTTTGTTTGCCCTTTCATCCAAGTCAGCCACGAATTTGGTTGTCTTAGCCTCCAGACCAAGTTGTTGCCTACACTGATTGCATTAACCCAAGCATGCTGCAAGCCCCTTCGGGTCATGTTAATGCTTGCATCTGGCAACGGCTGCACATACTTTGGCAAGGGTTTGCTGCTGCGCTCAGCACTTGGACAACATTTACCCGGTTGCCTTGTCCTTGGCATGCCGTCCATCATGCCTTGGTCTTGTTGGTCATGGGCACAAGGTGCTGGGCCAATGCCAACCATGCAGCCTCTCAAGTAGAAGGTGCCTAACAGTAAGGGGTTGGTGCCTTATGGTTGGGGTTCGAAGTTAGGGTTTTAAAATGAAAGAAAAAATGGAGTAGGGAGGAAGGAAAAGAGGGATTGCAGTGGATCTAATAGATGGCAGATTATACGTGGAGGTTAAGGTTGAATTAATGAGATGTTTAAAGAAAAATAACAAATTTTAAAATTTATGAATCGGGTATTCATGATGGTTTCTAACATATTTTTGGTGTGGAATTTAGAAGTTCGCATTTTGGTTTGCAAAAATTAAGATTTTTGTCGATTTAGTCCCTTAACAATTGATTTTTCATTTTTGGTCCCCAAAATTTTTCTCACTTTAGTCTTAAAAAATTAATTAATTTTTATTTGTCCCTAAATCCAATCCCAAACTCAAAGTTAATCTCATAACCTCTTTACCCCAAACCATAACTCTAACCTAGCCCAAATCTCATAAACTTACTTCATATGTGCAAAAGTGAAAAATTACAGTAAGGCATACAACTATCAAAGGAAACAAAGAAGTTACAATCAAAAAACTGGAGACAATGAGACGACGGCGGGAAGATGGAGAGGAACGGGGATCGGGTTCATAATTCACTACGCAAAAAAAAGGATTGGGTCATAAGGCCAGAGTGGTTGGTGGTTTATAGTGGACGGGCAATGAAGAAAAGAAATAGGAGGGTAAGGGTGTGGGACCATGAATAGGTAGAATGAATGGAAGGAAGGGACGTAAATGAAAAGATGGCAAACAGGTCGGATTTTTTCGAGTTTGAGTGTGCGAATTCATCACTTTGAACTCAACTATTTGTAATGATATGACTTCATATCTTATATCTATTAATCTTAATAGTTTTGACCCTATACCATACAACCTTTATCCACTTTACATGAAGTTCCTAAAATCTTTTTTATTTATTAAAATCGGATTAGGACAAATATAATCGGGGTCGGGTTAATTTTGTCATCGCCGTAATGGTAAAGGGCATTTAAAGGGTAAAGAATATGGATAAAAGGATAGGCCCTAATGAGTAAGCAAAACGAAGGTGTTACGAATGAGAGTATGTAGTTAAGAGATTATTCTTGAAATGAAAGATAAAATAATGGGAGTGGAAATAAAAGGGGATAATGGGTCAATTGGAAAATGAAGTGAAAGAATGTGATGGTCAGTGTGGGGAGTAGGGGTAAAGGAATCCGGATCCTCGGCCGCCCTTCTGGAGCGCGCGTTCTCAGCAGCCCCGCAAAACGCGTTCGTTTTGGGGTTTTTCATTTTTTTTTTTTTCTCTTTTTTTTTTTTTTTTTTTTTTCCTTCTTCGCAGAACGACAGAGCAGAGGGGAGTGGGTAGGGGAGGAGGAGCTCGCCGGATTTTTGGGGTCCAGATTCGCCGTCGCAGGTCGGTCGAGCTCGCCAGCCGTCCGACGTCTCCCGATCCTGCCGTCGCTCCGCCTCCGGCCCGCCTATCGCCTCCTTCCTCCTCTCCTCCTCCTCCTTCCCCCGGTGATTATGCCCCCTGCCAGTCCGCGTCCACGGCGGCTCCCTCTTCTTCGCCCTTCCTCCTCTCTTGCTTCCCCTCCTCTCCCCCTCTTCTTCTCTCCCCTCCCCTCCCTCTGGTTCTGTTTTCGAACGAGGAAGAAGAAAGAAAAAAAAAATCAAAAAAACCCCCAAAACGACGTCGTTTTGGGGGGCTGCTGGAACGGCCGCTGGGAAGGGCGGCCGAGAATCTGGACTCAGGGTAAAGAGGTGCATAGAAAATGAGAGAATGTGAGAATGAACTAAAGGTTTAGGGTATTAGGAGAAACTTGGTTAGGGATCCAAGTAAAATATGTATATATATACATATATTTTCAACAAGGACTAAAGTGAAAAAAGGCCGATACTATATAGGTGAAAGTATAATTTATTCTATTTTCATGAATTATTCCTAAATATAGGTTTGGTCTAGGTGAACCTGAATCATGTGACATTTTTCACAATGACATATTTAATAAATCGTGTTAGGCATCATGACAATCAATCTATTCATAAATGTGTTAATTTAAACATGGTATAGATATCATGATTAACACAATTGGTCTTCTTTAAGTAACAAAGATTTCTATTAATGAAAAATTAGTAAAACATTCATCTCCAACTTTGTGTAGTAGAAGAGATTCAAGATGGTTTTTTTATTAGTTAAAATTTCTCGATGAAATTTTTCAGTGATCATACCAGAGAAATTTCAAATTTTTTTTTGTGAAAAATTGAAATTTCTATGTGTTGAGGTTGAAATTTCTCTAAGTTAGGCACAAATTTATCTGAGTCGAATTTTCTCTGTAAAAATATTAAGAAACCCCAATTACTATGAAAATATTGTATGTCATTTATCTTATAAAATCTTTAAAAAAAACTATATTTAAAAAACAAATATAAAAAAAAAAGAAAAGAAAAAGAAATGGACAAACATTATGTGCATTTCTTTATATTTATTTGAGGAAGTCATAATAATATTGGATAGAATGAGATTAGAGTAATAAATGGATTAGCCGTGAAAAATTTCTATCAAACAAATTTGACATTAACTTGATATGTTTAATTTTTGAAGGAAAATGGTATAGAGCCCAAATAATTTACTAAATTTTTTACCTAAACTCTCACATAGATATGGGATTCACAGAAACCCATATTTAGGAATGAGTTTTGTTAGGGAACCCAAATAAATTATTAAATTTTCTACCAAACCTCTCATATGAGTGTGGGACCTATACACACATAACTTGTGTGGATCCCACACTCATGTGAGAAGTTTGATAGAAAATTTGATAATTTATTTGGGGTTCATAGCATTTTCTTTTAGGAATACACCCATCTCTAATTCTATTTACACATATTTCAATATAAGGGTGAGCATGGTCCGGATTGAGGTAAAATCAAGACCAATCTGTTATCTACGGTTCCTAAAAAATTAGAACTAATCTAATCCGTTAAAATCGTGGAACCAATCCGAACCAATCCGTTTAAACACGAATTGGATCGGTTTAGGACCACAGATTCACATAATTAAATAAAAAATATATATATAAAACATTTAAAACAAATAAAAGCAGCAGCAGCAGCAGTAATAGACAACAAACAAACAGTGATAACAACAACAAACAAATCGGTGTTTAAACAAACATCGAGAACAAAATTCAGCAGCAGTAGACAACAATAGAGATAACAACAACAAACAAATTCAGCACCACAGTAGCAGCAGCGCAACGGCAGTAGTAGCAAATTCCACATTACAGCAAGCCAAATCACATTCCAGAAACAATGTTGACATTGGTTAGAGCTACAAAAAAATTAATTTCAATTTAAAGTAAAAATAGCACAACACATGAATGTAATTTAAATAATAAATTGAATATTAGAATTCCATTACCTTTTTCTATATCCTCCAAATCTGCAAAGTTTTCTTCCATCTCAAGTGGCAATGGCGAAGCACGTAACCAATCTTATGTACAAATTAAACTTTCAACAAGCTTTGGAGTAAGAGAACTGCGAAATTGGTTAGGAATATGACCTCATGTGCTGAAAGCAGACTCAAAAGCAACAGTAGAGACGGGAATGGCCAAAATATCCCTTGCAACTTGAGAAAGAACTTTATATCTTAAAGAATTTGTCTTCCACGGACTTAAGAGGTCAAAGTTTGCAACTTCCTTTTCACAAGATTCTTTCAAATACCTATCTGCCTCTGACTTCCTTCCATCACCTTCTTCTTCCTCCAAAAGTTTTTGAAATTTTGTCATAAGAGACACTTGGTGCTCACTTGCACCAATGTTTACTTGATCAACAATGTTTACCTCATGAACCATTTCCTTAGAAGATGAAGCAACTGTCTCAAACTGTTTATACTCATCAAAAATGTTATTCAAAGTCTCTCTCACTTTTTGAGTGAGCTAACTCACCATGATAGGTTGATAAACTTCAAAATAACAAAACCTCACATACTTCAACTTATAACGAGGATCTAACACAACAACAATCAGTAACATCATATTTATTTTTTCAATTTTTCCCCAATACTTGTCAAATTTAGTCTTCATTTTTATTGCTATGGGTTTTAAAGAAGGATCTAAACTCTTTCCTCTTTCCCCATTCAGTTAAGGCACTTTCTGTAGCACAAACTTCAATGAAGTACAAGTTGGAAGTGACATACAAAAAACCAGACAAGCGAACAATTGCATCATAAAACTTGTGCAAAAATTGTGTAAAAACACGAGTATCTTCCCAATCTTGAGTGGTAGGAGGTCCATGATTAAGTTTTGGTTTGAAATGTGGGTCCTCATCCTCTAATCTCTCAAATACTTTTTAAAAAATTTTTGCAATATCTAGCACTAGATATGTGGAGTTCCACCTAGTTTGAACATCTAGACATAACAAGCTTTTACATGTTACCCTATTTGTATCAGCACATGTCCTGAAAAATTGCTTTCGTTGTGGAGAACTCCTTACATACTTCACCGCATTACGAATTCGAGTTATTGAATCTTTTATTTCACTTAACCCATCCTTCACAATTAAATTAATTATATGGGCACAATACCTCATATGCAAGCACACACCCCTTAAAATCAAAGAGTCACTGTTTTTAGAAAACTTCATTTTTCACATATGCAATAGCTACATCATTTGCATTTGCATTATCCACAGTGATTGTACCAATCTTCTCTATACCCCAATCAACAAAACATTATTCCACTGCCTTACTAATTGCCTCCCCTTTGTGATTAGAAATCACACTAAAGTTGAGAATTCTTTTTAGTAAATTCCAGTCTTTATCAATAAAGTGGGTTGTTAGGCACATGTATGAAACATTTTGTAAAGATGTCCACGAATCCATAGTGAGACAAAGTCTATAGTTTGATTTCTTTAACAAATTTTTCAATTTTTTCTTCTCACTACAGTATAAATCCATAATATCCCCTGCCACTGTAAAGTGTGAAAACTTTTTGAAATTAGGTTGCATCACACTACAAAATTGACGGAATCCTTCACGCTCTACAAACCTAAATGACAACTCATTAGTGATTACCATTTTAATAAGTGAATCCCTACATGCTTGTTGATCAATTTTCCAAACACTAAGAGTTTTTCCACCACCTGTTACAGATTGAAATGCCAAAGTCTTTCATTTTTTATTTTCTTTATTGTGAGGGGACTTAGAACAGTTTCCAATATGTTTTCTCAAAGTACTAGTTCCATTTGCACTAATCCAAGCATAAGAAACTTTACAATAGTTACATTTAACACATGCAACAGTCTTACTCCCTTCTTTAAAATTTTTTGGTAAAATGCTCCCAAACTTCAGAATATTGTTGAGCTTTTGGCTTAGAAGGAGAGGGGCATACATTTGAACCAGAAGGAGTTTCAGGCTGAAGATCATGTTTTGGCTTAAACTGAGACTGAGAGAGGTCGATGACATCATTTGTCTCTCTAGTACTTGACATCTATCAAACAAGAAAAAGAAATACATCAAAAAAATAGGATTCATATTATTAGAGAACAAAAATCATACCAGAAAAAGAAAAAACATGCACTGTTTCTCTTCATCCCATAGAAATCATACCAGAAACCAAAGAAAAATATAAAAACAGAAATCATATAATATAAATACACCCATTTAAGATACACTGTTTCTCTCCTTATATACAAAAATCACTGTTTCAGAAAAAAAAAAAATATATATATATATACACACACCCATTTAAGATAAAAACAAAAGAAAAAAAAACATAAAAATAAAAACTCTTACTCACACACCCATACCCATTTCAGAAACAGAAAGATTAAATCCACCGATCACAAGAAATAGGATTAATATTATTAGAGAACAGAAATCACAAAAATGGTTTTTTACATACATTTGCTGAATCCATTGTAGATGAGACGAACAATCAATTTGAGATTAAATCTACTGATTTGGCATGAAATCCACAAAAAATTAACAGAGTGTTAGAGAGAGAGAGAGCTCACCGAGAGAGAGACAAGCAGCTACAGTTACCGATCTAATCTGAAAATGGATGATCTGAGATGAGATGGATGATCTGAGTTGACTGCGTTTGAGAACAAAAGATTAAAAACAGTGTCACGAGAGAGAGAGAGAGAGAGCTCATCAAGAGAGAAAGATAAGCAGCTACAATTACCGATCTAATTTAAGATGGATGATTTGAGCTGACTGTGTTTGAGAACACTGAGAGAGAGAGAGAGCTCACCGATCTGATCTGAGATGGATGCGTGTAAGAGACAGTACCAAGAGAGAACTCAATCTGAGATGAGAGAGAGATGAGAGAGAGAGAGAGAGAGAGATGAAAGTGAGAGACAGTGAGTGAGTGGCGTGAATTAGGTTGGAGTTTAGCTTTTATAAGAAAGAAGAAATGATATTATGTGGGAGCATATATAGTATAAATATAGACTATTTCTATACGGTCCAAATCGGTTCCAATCTGAAACCGTGGGCTTCAATCCGGAACCAATCCGTGGTTTACGAATTTTTAAATTTTCAATCCAGAACTGAATCATGGATTCAAAAAACCAATCCAAACCTACTAGATTAGACTGGACCGAATCGGATTACGGATTTTACAGATTCCTTACTCAGACTTATTTCCCTAAGTATATAAAATCGATATAAAGCCCTAATTTGGAATTTTGGTTAAAAATTGGCTTTTAATTTATTTTGAATTATATGGCCTCTCTACTTTTTTACACATTTTTTAAAAAAAATCACAAGAAACCAAAAAGTTAATATTTAACTAACTTTCCAAAACAACCCAAAGATGAGTGTGTTACTATATCGTCGTTTGGCTATAATTTCTTTTACCTAAATAAGTACAAAAATATAAAATAGGCTAAATAAGTCAATAGGACAAAATGTCACATTCAAACCATAATCATTTCGCTTATTTTCTCACAACCATCATATTCAAAAAAAAAAAAAATTATTCCCAAACGAAACTAATAAATAGAGCTAATTTATACATATGATTGTCATACTTTTTGCGTGAACAAAAAACACATAGTCTTCGTTTGGGAAGTAAGTTGGTTTTTTAGCTATTTCAGCCTAAGGCTAAAAAGCCTTGTTTGATATGGACTTTTTGGTTTTTTTAACTTTTGTGAGAGAAAAAGTGAAATGATTATGGTTTGGATATAATATTTTGTCTTATTAATTTTTTAGCTTACTAGCATATAATTACACATGCTATGCACGGGTATAAATAAATAATCAAAAATTAATTTTTAAAATTAAATAATATTTTATAAAATTTATCTAGAATATGTAGCAAAAATGATTTAGAATCCATTAAATTTTATTCATTTTTATCACAGTAACATATAAGAGAATTTTTTTTTATTCTTATGTCATTAATTTTGTACTCTAAGTTCTTAATAACAAATATATGCCATAATTTAATTGGTAAAAATTAAAAAATAAATCACAAAAAATATATTTATGATAAAATATAAATACATTTCGTCTTATGAGTTTCACATTTTTAACTTATTATATGATAGTAGTAAATTACATTTGCCAATATATTAATTTTTTTAATGTTTTGTAAAGTCTAAAAATTTGTCTAACATCAAAATTATAATTTGTCTTATATTATAAGATTTATGTAAAAATTAATTAGGATTAACTTGTGATATTAGATTTGAGCTTAATATCAATTTGTCCTTTTAAAAATTTATATTTTAATATTATATAATTTATTTTGAACTTTCTTTTTAAATCTCAAATTAGATGTAACTTAAATTTGATTAAAATTTATTTTTGACTTCTCATCTACAAAAACTAATAATGAACATAAATTGTTTTTTGAACATTATAAAAAATAAATAAAGCAATATATTATCAATAAGAATAATAACAAAACATATTTTTATTTGTCATGTGATGTCTTACCACTACATTAATAATGAAACTCATTACAATAATACATCAGATGATAAGTAATATGTGATAAATACATGTGATTACAATAATTTCGGATAGTTATATAAAAGTACCCAAAATTATATATAAAAAAAAATAATATATGATCCATATTCAATTTTTTATAGTAAACTTATTAGTCTCAACCACATATTAGTTTTCTAAATCAATTCATCACTCAAACTATCTACTTTTTTTAAGCAATATTCACACTTTTAAAACTCGCCCAAACATTACTTTGGCTGAACTCATCATCATCCTTATTGTTTCCATGCTCACCAACTCCACTAACCACTATGCAACTCCAGTCTAGCAAAATTAACCGTACTATGCACAGGTATGAATAAATAATCAAAAATTAATTTTTTTAAGGTTTTCTTATTCCATATATGGGTGATAAATTTTTTTTTTTTAAATTCATAGATTATGAAACAATGTTCATTATTTAAAATTTTATTTATTGACGTCAACTAAACGTTTTTAATTTCTTACAAATAAAAAAATTGAAATTTTTGTTTAAGAAATAAAAAAAAAATCCAAATTATAAAGAACAGCGTAAGGCGCCCTGTTTTGTGAAAAACTCATAACTGTATCATAAATTTACATATATCAAAAGAAATAATAACAATGACATAAACAATAAAAAAACAAAATAAAAGTCCTACAGACATATAAAAAATACACAAACATCCACCCAAAAATAAAAATAAAAAACTTGAAATCAACTCCAAAACAAAGATAGCTAAACAAATATATCTTTATTATCAATTTAGTTGAAAAAAAAATACATTGAAAAAAAATCATATAGAGGAAAAAAATACTCACATGAAAATAGAAATCTATAAACAAAAAAAAGAAAAAAAAGAGAAGAAAAAAAACACAAACAAACTTAAAATAAATTTGGACTACTGGCAAAAAAAAGTGAGAGACTAACTTTTGCACCATTATATTTGGAGCGGAGTTGGCCAGACTGAAAAAAAGATCAAATATTGAATATTTTAAAGAAAAAATTGTATTGAATTTTTAATTTGGTTAGGTTTTTAAAGTTTTAGGTTTTATATTATTTTTGAAAAAGGTAAGAGTGGGGTGAGGGTGACTTACCATGTTATTTTGAATTTTAAAATTTAAAATCATAGATAATTAGTGTATTTATTATTTCTTTATTTGAATTGTTTTGATCAACAATATTTTTGGATATGGTGAGGTTGACTTACCATATTGTTTTGAATTTTAAAATTAAAAATCATAGATAATTAGAGTTTTTTTTTTTTTTTTTTTTATTTGTCAAAAAAATTAGAAAAACATATCTGAAAACTAACCAAACTAGAGAAACAATAATTTATTACAACTGTGTTCATATTTTAATGAATAAAAAAATATAAATTTTATAAATTGTCTAATATTAAAGTCTCCATATATTCAAATGTTTGCAGTTCATTTCTTACATTTTATTTATTTTTGCTTTTGTGGTGGAAAACTTCATTTCCAATAATGTTGTAGTTGTGAAATGTGGATTCTTCTGGGGATAAAAAGAAATAATTTATTTTTATCGTGGAATAAGAAGTGGTCTGTGAAAAGTATCTCATTCTTTTTAGAATTTTATTCTTTATTTGATTTATGAATAATGTTATATTATAATTATAATATTATATATAATCAATTAATGTTATTAAAATTAGTGTACTAATAGATGATTTAGACATATTTTTAATTAATTTTAAGTATTTACAATTTGTATAATAGGGTTCGGGGTCCAGTAATGATAATAGCATAATACTTAGTTAGTACACTTATAATGTGTTATATTAATTGGCGTGATATAGTTACCATCGTGATATTTATTATTTGATGGGTTTGGGAGGACAGATTGAGGGGGTATATCGTTAACAACTATTAATCTTATATTTTTATCTTAGCACACATATTTTGGCCTTCCTTTGGAAAGATGAATAAAAAGGAAACGTTAATTTAACTATTTTGATATTATAGTTCATGTTTATTACTTTTATATTATCTTTTTTAAAAAAATATAAATTAAACTTTTAACTAATTTCTCTATAAAACAACCGTTGCATGATATAAAATCTCCGTTTAAATGAGAACAAATGGAGTCACTTTCCTATTTCGGGTTTGAGTATCAAATATTTGAAGCAAGAGAAAAAATTGTGTGCTATCCATTTACAAAATTTAGAAGATGTTTTCATCAAAAAATTTAAAACATTATAATATTTTTCAGTAGTTTGTTTTTGTTTGCATTCATGTATGGTTTATGTTTGGCATGTGACGTTGATGCTAAAATAACACACCAAAAAACAAAATCTATACTCTATCTATTTATTCTAGTTATATTTATATAAGTTAAAGGGTAGATTTTTTAAAAATATTGATTTTTGGAGGGCTCTAAACTCTACTCAATATTTTGCTTAATTATAATTTTAAAGAAATTTTTTTTTAAAAAAAACATTGGTTTAGTTCCTAAGTC